CTGGGCTGGCTGTACTGGCTCTGTGGCATGAGTCTTGTCAATAAAAAAAGAATACAAATTATTAATGCTTCCTGTTCCTACTCTCAGCCAAATTATTATCGAGGAGTAGGGTTCCTGGACTGGCCTCCTCACCATTTCTCCCTGGCTACAGGCGGGTTTCTGGCTGGGGTCAAATGCGTTGGCAAAGGCTAGGATAGAGCTGTTGATAACCTTGCCATGCATGCTAAATGGCTGTGGAAGCTGCTTCTTTGCCTGGGTGCTGGGTGCTGGCCATGAGGCGCGTGTAGCAGGCAGGCAAAGGAATCTCTGCTGTCTCTGAACACCCCTGCCCTCCTACCCTACAGCCATGGTATCTTAATTGTTTTCCCAGAGGACCTTTTGATTAGGCCTTGGAAATGTGATGCCTCACCCTGGGAGACTAGGAGACAGGGGAAGAGGTGCAGCGTGGAGCAGACGCGGCGTGGCAGTCTGGGGTCTGACAGAGTCGGGGTTTCATCCCAGCTTGCTGCTTAGCCAGCTCTTGTGCCTGGCGCTGTGTCAGAACTTGTGAGGATAAAAAGGGATTTGCATTCTTTTTGGAGAGAAATAAGTTCTAACTTGTTTGGGTAGCAAGATAATTCTCTTACTCTCTTCACCCCTAACCCCAAAACAAGCAAGGGAGAAACCCAGGAATTAGGAAGGGAGAACTGGGCACAATCTCCTTCACTGTTCAGGAAGGTTGGGAGGGGACAAAGGCTTTTGATAGAGTAATTAGTTCAAAATTATATTAGCAGGAGAAACAGTGGTCCTGGTGATAGGTTTTGGCAAGAAACCAATCCTTGCAGTTTTGAGATGTGTCTAATATGCTTAGATATTTGGGGAAAGAATATTCCACAACCTGGAATGGTAGAGCTTAAAGTCCTCTGTCCCCCTAGACTCTGACACCCCAGACATCTTCAGCAGCAGAAATTGTGGCAGAGTAGACCCACTTTGACTCATCACAGATAGCAGAGCTAAACGACACATGGGGGAAGCGGGCAGTAAGCATGGAGTGGAAACTTCAGGAATGGATTAAAAGATATGGGCACTGATGGATAAGGAAGAAAAAGCAGCTTGGGGAAAGAGGGTCTGGCCACACAGAAGTCCCCTCCAGGTCCCAGCAAATGCCTGTGTGCACACTGCGGGCGTTATGGGAGTGCAGCCTGGGAAACGAGGGGTGTTGGGGTGGCAGGAACCCCTCATGCAACAGGCAGGATCTGAGCCAAACCTTGACCGGCCAGAGGCTTTCCATAGCCAGGTGGAAGGGATTGGTGAGAGCATTTCCTGTGTGAGTGAGAGCAACGTAGTTAATATGGCCCGGGTAGGTCTTAGCCTCTCCTGAGTCCTCCTGTCCCCTGTTCGGTCCTCTTCCCCCGACAGGGCTGCTGAGCCCACAGATTTTATAAGGACCCGGCAGGGGCCATGGAGCCCTCTTCTTACCAGCTAGAATGGAGCATTTGCTCAAGCCTGGGACTGGCTCTTTCTGGGGTTTGCAGGAAACACAAAACACAAACAGGCCTTGCCCAGCCTTGGGGGTGGGAGCTGTGGAAGGCGTATTTCACATTTCCAATTGTGACACAATCTGGTCGGTGTGGAAGTGGGAGCCTGTTGACTTTAACAGCCCAGCTGTTTTTGTCTTCCAGACAGCAGTCAGACTATCTTCCGAGCAGAGCGGCGAACAGTCTGAAGTTCTAATGAGAGCCCTCCGGGATGTCCTAGAAGAGCAGCATGGTATGGGGATGTGGCCCTGGGGGCTCTGTGTTCCCTCCCCACATGATGCAGATTGGAGCCACTAAGCCTGACTGTGTCAAGAGCAATGTCCTGAATGTCACAGCTCTGGGGTAGGACTGAGGCCTAAGTTTCTTAAGATTTCTTAAAGCCTCTATTATAGAAGTGTCATTTATCTGGGCTCCCACTGCTTTACTTCTCTTACCTCCAGCCCCTCTTATCCTCACTATGAGGAGATAAAAAGGGAAACAACCTCATTTTTTTTCTGACCATGACAAACTTTGCATAGCTTGCTGCTATAGTTTGGATGTTTGTCTCCAAGTCTCATGTTGCAATGTGATCTTGGTGTTGGAGGTAGGGCCTACAGGGTGGCCTTTGGGTCAGGAGGGCAGATGCCTCATGAATAAATTACTGCCCTCCCTCAGGGCAGAGTGCAGTCTCACTCTGCCAGTTCCCAAGACAGCTGGTCTTTAAAAAGAGCCTGGCTTCATCGCCCTCTCTTGCTTCCTCTCTTGCCTTGTCATCTCTGCACCTGCTGGCTCCCCTTCACCTTCCACCACGAGAGGAAGCAGCCTGAGGCCCTCACCAGATGCCCGGTCTGCCAGCAAGCAGAATCACAAGCCAAATAAACCCTTTTTCTTTATAAATTGCCCAGTTTCAGGAGTTCCTTAATAGCAACACAAAATGGACTAAGACACTTGCTCTCCATTCTCCCTGGGTCCTTTCCTGTCTTCCTCTGATTCCCTGTGCAGGGCTTTCCTCTTCACTGGGAGGTGCAGGGCCATCTGCCCACCAGAGTTTTTCAGATGTGTCTCCTGAATCTGCTTTTGGCTCCTGGGTTTCTAATTACCTTTGAATGCCTCACCTTCTTTTGCTACCCACCTTTTGAACCCCATTACTAGTTTCCAGTCTTACAGAAGAGGTATTTTCACAAAATTAATTGCAAAGCAATGGAAAATGTAAACGTAGTAGAAAATATAGTTAATATGTCTTCTAAAACTAAAGTGCAGTTAACAGTGCTTTATGCATTTGAAGCCTGAGCCTTTCTCTGGATAGCAGCTGACTGTTGTAGCTGCTTTGGCTTCTGCTATGAGTCAATATGAGCAGGCGAACCCCTCACCAGTGTTCACATTTGAAGTTTTACCATAAAGTAGCCAGTATGATTTTTCAAACATATCAGAATTTTATGAAATGAAACTATCATCTTCAAAGTTGTCAACTTGTAAATACTTTGTACATATCAACTGTATGTTTAGAATTGATTTTACAAGCGTTCTCTATGAAAATTTCATCTGATTCCATTCATAAACAATTGAACTATGTTAGAAAGTCCAATATCTCAACATCTAAATTATATTTGGAAGATAGTGTCTCATAATTGTGGCATAAAGTCTTTGTTAGATCACATGTCCCAACTTTTAGCTTCATCAAGTATGACCATAGTGACCACACCTTCATCTCCAGTATGCTGCCATTAGGTGAAACCATTGATCAAACTTTACTAACAGTCTATATGCCAGACAAGAAGACCACATTCATCTCTCATTGTCACTATCATTTTGACCCAAAAGGTTTCTACCCACCTAAGGACTCATGGCTGTTTCGTGCTTGGAGATGAAATGTGCTGTAACCAAAGGGTATTCAAAGAATGAGCTGCAGGCTCTGAATAGGATTCCCAGAGAGGAGATCAACAGCATTCTGAATAACAGTAGCTTTGCAGAAGGAGATGTCCCAAGGGCATCTTGAAGGAGATGGCTGCTGGGTGGGGGCAGGCATCTTCCCCTGGCTTCCTGTACCCGAGGGAGGATCTATCCCTAGAGTAACATTGTGGATATTCTCATCTCCTCACTCCTCTGAGGCGGCAAAAATAACCGAATGTGATGGCGAGTTAGGGAGAAGGACTGGCCATGAGCAGCTCAGCCCTGTCTGGGCTCTACTTTCAGATTTGTAAACCTGCTCCAGATTCTTGGCCTGCTCCTTGGGGATGACTGCACGGCAGATCTATTAATTTGGAGATAAAGTATTAGCAAGCCCTTTTGGCCACAGATTTTAAACCTCATGGTCAATAATATTGGTGATATTTTGAATTCTATCTGTATGACTCCTGTATATTTCTCTCATTTGGTTTTAATTTCTAGGTGAGGAAGAAAGAGGTGTTATTTATTAGCCCTCTAAAAGTCCATCAGCTATGTTCATTTGGGTGTATACATTTCTGTTGCCTTTATTATGAGACCAGCTTCCTTGCTTTATAGTTATGCCTGACACAGCAAAAGTGAGGAGCCACAAGGGAGGATGTCTTCCTTGGCCCTATCCCTTTACTTAATTAACTTTTAAAATTCCTCCAGAAAATTGGGAAAAAAGGATGTGTCCCTTTCCTGCTTATTGAATGCGGTTGTGGGTACTTCTGCCTGTCCTGTGCAAAGAAGGTGATTTTCTCACAATGGGTTATTTTTAGAATTGAGGGAAAGAAACAAATTTTGCTGTGATTCTTATTCCCCTATATTATTAATATAAGCTCCTAAAGGGCAGGATCATGTTGTTCAATGTAATTGCACCTTCTTTCACTGCAGGATGTGCTGCTCTTTCTCTTTGTCTCCTCACTGGGGCTCAGATGTGGCTGTTGGAGAACCTTAAGTGAGGTATTCTGGGGGAGGCCGAAGGATGTACACTCCTGAGGGCCAGGGTTGCAGCTGGACTCTGGGAAGAGACTGTTGTCTTCCTGTCTCTGGGAGCCCCTTCCAACACTAGGAGGAGGGAGGACTTGGCCCACCGTGGAGTGGAGGAGAACAGGACCTCACTCAGGATGGATATAGACCTCCCCCTGGCAGGATGCATGTGCATGTGGCAAGAGGGTGTTCCACCCACATCCAGCTCCCTAGCGTCTGCGGGTTCTGACCTGGGCCCTCTGTAGTTGGGTCTCCAGGCTCTCAGCAAGCCTACAGAGGAGGAAGTCCCACTAACCTCTCCCACTGCATCCCTGAGACTTCCCCAAATTCACCCTGGTGTGTACCGGCACGGACAGCCACTTTGTTTAGGAAATAGAGATAAGTTGGCAATGGAAGTGCAGGGGGAGCAGCGTGTGGTCAACAAGCTACTATCTTTCCAGAATCCTCTTAACTCCAGCCTATCTGGACTAGATACGTCCTTGTCTGCCCACAAGAAGCAACTCTCACCTGCATGCTTTGTAGAAATCACCTTGGAAGTGCCAGGGCACTTGAGAGTATGTTTGGCCCTGGTGGGGGGCTGGGGGAAAATTCAGGCCCTCCTGCAAGGGCTGATTTGAATTGCTCTGCAATATAATCAGACCCTCTCTTTCTTAACCTGGTAATTTGTTCAGGCCCCCTTGTCTTATGCCCTTGGGAGTCCCCTCTTACTGAGTCCACTCTAAGTTCTCTTTGGGCTTTCTCTACCCAGCTCTGCACTTCTGGTTTCCTAGCCTCTGATCCTTCTGGTCTCTGGACTGGGGTTTGAATCTCATCTTTTCCTGGGCTCTGTGTTTTTGCCCCTCTAGATCTTGTCTCTAGTAGGAGTGCCCTCTATAAAACCCAATCCCAGCCTTGGGCCCTTGGCTGATGACCTGGCTGGGGCCAGCTGTGCCTTCTCTGGATGGTGGGATTCAAACAGGAGCCCTGATGTCGAGCAGGGCAGAACCTGGAAGCTAACCCAGGGGCTTTTGCCTGAATAGTAAGTTGTCCTTCCTTATTCAGGCCTGGAATTGAGTGGCCACACCCTGTGACCACATACCCAGAGTGGGTTTTGTGACAATGGCTTTTAGATACCCCAGGGTGTCTTCAGTATTTTGGCAGCTTTCACGATGTACTTCTTAAAAGAAAGTGAATTTCACTTTTATTTTGAGAACAGAACAATGAGTTGTAAAACAGAAGAAGTAAAAAAGAAGTGAGATCATCAAACAAATTGGAGACAACTTCTGTAAGTTTCCTTTCTGTCCTGCTGCCCTTATGTATGTGCATGCAAACATTGGGCCAATAGAGGCTTAAACAGGGGAAAGGATTTTAATTGCAGACAAGCCTTGCCTCTTGGTGTTTTATTTTCTCCCTCCTCAAATATCAAAACCAGACTCATTGGTCTGGTTGTTTAATTTCTGTTTCTAGGACACAAAAGGGAACCCAGAGTTTTATGAACCATAAGAAAATTAGAAGGGATTTGATTCAAAACCCTCATTTTATACACGAGGTGACGAAGGACCACATTAGTGAGGTGAGTCAGCCCAGGCTGCACAGTGAGTTGGTAGCAGGTGTGGAACCTGACACCAGTCACGTGACTACTCAGCCATTTCTCTGTCCCCTTCGCCTGCACTGCCAAGGGAGGGAAAGGGGCCACAGAAGTGGGAGAAATGAGGTCTCTGTTCCCACCTTCAGCTTGACACCGAGGAGGCTGCTGGGAGGAGGCTGAAAGACAGGAGAGTGCCAGGGACTTGTTAAGGTCTGGCATTGGGCTTTTAAATGTCAAGCTTAGGTCAGTTTGCTGAGAAAAATGCAGAATCCATATCTTGGTGTTCATTAGATTCCTTTAAATTTTTGCAATGTAAGGTGTGTAAGTCATGTATTTAAAACAGTATCCAAAAACCTCAAAGAAGCAGTTATGAAATATTTTGTTTTACTGGCAATGGGACAAAAAATAATTGGGCATTAAATCAAAGAAATGGGGAAAAGGGAGCTGCAAATCAAGGGAAATGGTGGAAAATTAGGTCTTAGTGGAGAGAAATGTGTACATATGAACTGCCTGATGTTTCAGGGAAAGAAATATGGTCCTGTAAATCTCGTCTTTAACCCTTTAAAGACGAAGGCTGGGTTGTGCTTGTCTGGCTGTCCGTGTCTGGGGTGACGGCCACTTGTGGGGGGAAAGCTGGCTTCTCCCTGCCCCGTATTGTCAGAAGGGCAGTGTGATGATTTCAACGTGTCTCCTGTTTTAAGCAGTGGTTTGAGATCCGCTGTGACCATGTTCCTGGGACTAGCACAACATCCACATTTCTCTTGCTTCTGACTGGGCAATGGTGACTTCAGTCTGATGGCAGCGTACGGCAAGGGAGAAGGGGACATGAAGCCTTTCACTAGGGCCCTGCTGACGTGCCACCTGGCTTCATTAAATCACACCGAAAGCCTGCCTTATTATCTGTCTGCTATGTACATAATTCCTATAAATTATAAATTAAAAAATAAATAATAAACACCTTTTTAATTGCGTAGTCTCTTTTTCTCTTGTCAATTAAAGTGAACTTGCAAAGCTGCTTAACACAAAAAGCTACACAGACATCAGCCCTTGTTAGATGTGGTACAAGCCGTCACACCGATTTTCCCATAGCTGCGAGGATTAATCACAGATAATCATCACAAAAGGATCACACCCATATAAATAATATAAAAATAGCAAAATGCCCAAAGTGGAACTACTGCGAACAAGAAAAATCACTGAAAAATGAATAGCTCTGAGCTAGCACTCAGGCGGCGAAGGAGAGGGCAGGGGAGCCTCGCTCCTGCTTTGCCAGAGCCCAGCTCTTCCCTGCTGGGCGGGGTCGGACCAGGGAAGCAGTGGAGGGCCGGGCCCTGGATGTGCATGGCCTTTTACCCCGATCCTCCACGACTTTGCCAGACAGTGGCCTGTAGCTCATCTTGCCTAACTGTGGATCAGGTCGTCAGATCTCCATAGCGATGGGGAATGTGCACAGCTTCTGAGGGTTGTGCTGGGAGAAATGACTGGGAGCCTCAAGGGAGAGTTCAGCTTAGACACAGAGATGAACGTTTTTTTAGTGAAGGCCAACCTTGATGACTGAGGAAAGTAGGAATCTGTGTGCCTAGAAATTGTAAACATGAAAGTCAGTCCTCCCAAATGGCTTAGGCTGGGTGTAGGGTGGTGGTGGGGTGAGAGAGCATCTCTGACTTCCACTTCTCTTGGGTTCTGTTGCATCTTGTCATTCTGGGTCATGTGGTGGCACTTAGACCACGGCCACGAACAAGGGCGTTAGAGACACAGCTGCGAAACCACCCTGGGCGGTATTCCATGGGCACACGGTCGTCTGTGATGTGCCGGTTGCGGTGAGGGGACAGTCAGCGGACGGGCCTGCAGGGAGGCAGAGCGAGCAGTCGGGACGGGCCTGCACGCTGCTCACCGGTGTGGGTATGACCTGTGACGCGGGTGGCCTGTCTCCAATGCTGGGGGCAGCACGAGGCCTGACAGGTGCAGGCTGGAGCCTACCCAGCCAGAAATTCCCATGAAGTGCCAGGAAAGGGCTTCACTCGCCCGCATCCTCCAGCTGAGACTCCACGTTGCTGCAGCTGCCGCTAGCCTCGGACAGGGGCGCGGCACACGCTCCGCCTTTCCGCTTGCTGAGCGTGCTCAGATGGAGACCCTGCATTCAGACCACATGGCAGAGTATCCTTCTGGTCTTCTTGAGTGGCACATGCAAAGAACAAGTAAGTATGTGTGGCACAGAAAATGTACGTGAGGACTTTAAAAAGTTTGTGGGAAAGTGGAATTAAAAGATGAAACTAAAAAATATAAAATTTGTTTATCAAAATAAACACCATCAAGATCAAGACCCTTTTGCAGGTGATGACACCATGCCATCCCTAAAGAACCGAGAGTCCTGGGAATTTAACCAGTAGGTGCAGTCTTTTCTACATTATTAACTGAAGAAAAATGGCTGTCCTTTACAGATTTTTAAGATTAGGAAACAAAAAGGAGTCGGGAGTCAAATAGGGTCTGTAAGGTGGATGCCTAATGATCTCCCATAGAAACTCTTGCAAAATTGCCCCTTTGATGAGAGCAAGAATGAGCAGGATGATTGTTGTGGTGGAGAAGGACTCTCTGATGAAGCTTTCCCTGGCGTTTTTTCTGCTAAATCTATGGCTAACTTCCTCAAAACACTCTCATAATAAGCAGATGTAACTGTTATTTGGCTCTCCAGAAAGTCAACAAGCAAAATGCCTTGATTATCCCAAAACAGTTGCCATGACCTTTGCTCTTGACTGGTCTACTTTTGCTTTGACTGGACCACTTTTTCCTCTTGATAGCCACTGCTTTGCTTGTGTTTTGTCTTTAGGATCATGCTGGTAAAGCCATGTTTCACCTGCTGTTACAATTCTTTGCAGAAATGTTTCAGGGTCTTGATCCCACTTGTTGAAAATTTCTGTTGAGAGTTCTGCTTTGGGTGGAAGAATGGTGAAATCATTGACACTTAATGAAGCTTATGGGGACAATGACCCCCAAAATAAATAGTTTACAAATGGATAACTCATTGTCTACAGCTGATCTGGATGCAATGAAAATTTTGGCACCAACCAAGTGGAAAGTTTGTTCAACTTTAATTTCTCAGTCAGCACTGTGTAAGCTGAACCAATTGGGATTTCTAAGGTGTTGGCTGTTATTTATTGGTCCTCTTCAATTAGGGCACGAACAAGATTAATTTTTTCCTTGCAAATTGATATGGATAATTTGCTGCTGTGGGCTTCATCTTCAACATCATCTCCTCCCTTCTTAAAACAAGTTATCCATTTGTAAACTACTGATTTCTTTGGGTCATTGTCCCCATCAACTTCATTAAGCATCAGTGATTTCACCATTCTTCCACACAAACTTCACCATAAATTTGTTGTTTGTTCTTGCTTCAATTTTAGCAGAATTCATGTTGCTCTCCTAAGGGCCCTTTTCAGATTGATGTCTTATGCTTCTTAGTGTCTCATACTAGACTCTGTTCAGACATGCTATAACAAGCTAATATGAGTTGATTTTGGTGCAAAAAAATTGAAATCCATGCAGTTTTTCACAATACGCATTTTCCATGAACTTGCTGAAGAATCTTCCTCACATTTGTCTTTCCAGTGTAATTTGAAGGATTCATGAAGGGGTGGGAATGTGAATTCACTTTTGAAGCAAGAAAGACATTAGCTCTGGGAATAGGACCTGCAACCAAGGGGCACACCATATTGGAGAATTAAGGTCTTCATATAATCGTGCTACCTTAGAACCAGGTGCTTGGTGCCAGGATGGACAGGCTAAAGCTCACAGAGGCCCATGAATATTGTACTGTCAGTATTTGAGGCTGTCATCTGTTATTTCCCCTGTGGGGAGTAAAATAAAATGGAGGTTAGGTGAGATTTCAGCAGGCTAAATATATTGAGGTCTGAAATGCTGCTCTTTAGATCATTGATGAGAATTGTGTTTCTACTCAGTCCGAATTGACTTAGCATCGAAGTTTATAATAGGGCTGTCGAATCAGCATCTTTCACCAGCACTTGAAAGATAAAGTTTAAAAAGGAGAAGGCTTTGCCCCTGCATCCTGATCCCATACACCTGTAAGGTCGTTCTCCTCTTGCAGCCTGTGCTGGGTGTTCCCTGCTGCCCTGGCTGGCACTGAGCCCCGGGTACCTCACAGGTTGCCCCGTGACCACTCTGTGCTCCAGGAAGCCGAAACAAGGCATTGCTAGCTGTTCTGTGTGTTGCTTTCTATTTTAACCTTCAGGTAGTTCTTCTTTTTCTCCTTCAAATCTCCTGGTTTCTTTGCTTTGGAATTGTGTGGCTGTCAGTCCTGAAAATGGCAAGACAAGGCGTCTGGGCTAATGAACAGCTGCAGGAAGATAATTAATGCTCTCCCACCTTCCTTGCAGCCTTTTCCACCTCACCACGACACTGCCTGTAACATCTGTGCTTCCCAGCAGCTGAGCTGTAAAACAGCCTTCCCTGCTTTTCTCAAAACAACTGTCAGACGGGCCAGCACCCACGTTAAGGGCAAAACTTACAAAACGCTACAAAAGATGGGCTGTGCTATGCCCAACTCACGGATGTTGAATCTTTCCATGAGAGAGGACCACAGAGAACTTGGCTTGGATGTTCCTAGTTGCTAGGCCGGGAGCCGAGAGGGAGGCACACAGCCCCAGGTTAGCAAAATGCTGTTTATTTTGAGCATCTCGGTGCAGATGGGTGGAGGCCAAAATAAACGTCCACCCATGGAAGGGGAGAGTGGTGGGTTTTATAGGGGATTTTTCCAGGGGGATTAAGTGGGCCAGAACAGCCGCTTGTAATAAATTCTTTTTATTTTTTCTTTTTATTTTTTTTCCCTTTTATTTCATCATATTATGGAGGTACAAATATTGTTAGGGTCACAAATATTGCCCCTGCCCCCCCATGTGTCCAATCCCCTGGTGGTGTGCACCACACAGGTTATGGAAGCATACACCCCTTAAACAACCAGCTCCTATGACCCCTGCCATCCTGCAGCTCCCCGCTCTTATCAGGAGAGAGAGGGAGGGTAGACTTCATTCCCATCAGGGGGAAATAGGAATGCAAACTCCCCTCTTGCGTTCTATTCCTTTATCTCCCCAGGGGTCTGGCAAAGGCTCCTGGCTAACTCTGGTGTGCTGTGGTTGGGGGGGCGGGAGGTTCCACAAGCAAAGCAGTGGGGGGGGGGTGCTCAACTCCTTTCTTTCAGGGCGGTTGCTGAAGCCCAGGCTCCCAACTAGCCTAGAACCCTAGAACTGTTTTGACAGTCGCCAGAGGGGAGGGTGGGATGATCCCAGATTTCTTACTGTCTCATCCGGGGCGACTTTGTTGAGAGCGCAACTGTTCCAGCACGTGTACCGGCTGCATATCAGACCTGCTCTCACATTCCCCCGTGGCCCCTCCTCAAGTGCAGACTGAATAATGTTTATCGAGCACCTGCTTTCTGCCAGAGTGGTTCTAGGTGCTTGTGATAATTTTGCGTGGGAAGGATATGACTAAGATTGCCTTAACAGTAATGTTATTTTTTTTTTCTGGTTCATGAAAGCTAATTTGTATTTGCTAGACTTTAGCCCCACCTGCATTTGCAACATCTCAGCCTCTGCTGGGGCTTGCCCACTCCACCCCTCTATCTGGGTGTCTCTGGGCCTCCCAGGGGTGTCTGTCTCAGCAGTGATCGAGAGTGGCCCTCTCACGAGTATTGCCCTGGCCCGGCCTTCTGACCGTGTCTTTTACCCACAGGCACTTGAGGGAGACACCCTGCTGCTGCCTTCCTGCCTAGGCGCTGCCTTCCGACCACGCTCCCCCTGCAATCTCTCCCGACACTCGTATGCCAGCAAATCGCGCCAGGCTGCACTTTGTCCTCCGCGTCCTGGTGTGGCACTGCTGTGCCTTGAG